ACAGAAACACTTTACTTTGAGTTAAAAGTCACATTTTTTAAATGATAAAATGTATATTCAGTGGCAGTATGAAGTCACTTTTTGAAGTGATAAAATGTATATTCAGTGGCAGTATTGTAAAGTTATCATCACAAACAATCATCTGTTTAATACAAACATCCTTTGTTAGATCCATGCTGATGCATTAAAAGCTAACTATGCTAGTTTTAAATTTCCACCAAGTGTGTGCAAAAAAACATGCAAACACTTCTAGAGAGAATCAGCCGAGTTCAAGTTTAAATCTGAGACACCAAATCCATGCCCTCTGCTTTCTGAATTCTTTCCACTTTGTGCCCAGTGTGCAGCTGGTTGCCACTAATGCAGGAGCACAATTGAAAAATGGAGTGTGGATTATGGAGCCGAGCACCCGATGGTTAAAGATGCCACACTGCAGCCAGAGCTGCGTGATTGGCCTCGCTGTAAACCAGATGAGATCAGAGTTTGAGAATGCCGCAGATTATGGAAATTAGGACTGTTCGATGGTCAGGCTACTCCACAAATGAGGGGCTTAATTTGGTAGCAAGAATGCTGCAGAGATTTGATGGTAACCGCAGTAGGTGTTCTGGAGAGGAGCGAGGCTTTTAATGGTGCTTGCTTATGTCAGGGAAAACAGTTTAGGGAAAGTCGGCAGAACAAATTTGTCGGTGGAACAAATTTGTTTTTCAGAGATTGCTGTTTCTTCCCACTCACGTAGGCTACTGTTACAGACCCTTGATCATTTTGTGCATTTTATTCTTAAAGCCCTCAGGTCAATTACCAAGCGGGTCAATTTACATCTTTTTCATCAAAGTGAAAATTGCCAAAATATTTAGAAAAAAATATTTAGGACAAACCACATGCAGGGCATTCAAGGTCAGGCCTATTGTGACCTGTGACCTACCCCAAATTCTGTGCAGTGTAGTTCTATCTTTATGTTACGACGTTGCTGTGAAGGTGGTCTATTTTTCTGCTCCGTTTCGGCTATTTTTGCTGAATATTATCTTTCATTTTTGGAAACTGTTTTTCATCTGTTATTTTAAATGCTTTTGGGACAATAATTGTCATTACCAACTGAGCAAAGTTGTGTATTAATGTATGTTCTTTTGACTTTTTTTTAGGTTCGTTGTACTTTTTACCTTAACTATACTTATTTGAACCTTAACTATAGCCATTAGTATCAGACTTGTGTGGACTGGAAAAAAGTTTAGTGCAGACCTGTAGTTGGAACATTGTTTCACAAAAATAAATAAAAAGTGTTTGCATCATTTTTCAAATATTTGCAGTAAATACTTTTGTATATGTAAATACATTTGTAATGATGATAAACATAGGAAAAAGTACTTTCTTTGTGTTTCTAAGTAGTAAGAGGGCTGGCCTTACTGAACATCAACTCTCACTACTGCTACAGTATGTTACTAATGACATTTTGGGACTTACTAAAAACTGTGACCAAAAAGTTTGTTAAACATATTTTTATTTTTTATTTTTAATGGGAAAAAATAGTCTTAGGTTGTCTTAAAGAGGAAACATAAGTCTTAAGTATAAAATGAAAACACTAAGGTTTTGGCGTACCACACCTTTGACTAACCCTTCCTCATTAATCATGTGGTGGCAATCACCTTCATGTGTGAAATCACCTTGGTGTTGTGAAGTGGGCGTGCAGGAGCGCAGATGTACTCAGCAGTGAACCCGTTGGCCTGATGCATGTGGAACATTTGGATGTAGTGTGCCACCCAGCTGCCAGTCCCTCTGCGAGCTGATGTGATGAATGAGGACAGATGTTTGCGAGTATGAAGTAAATAGTTTTGACTGACAGTGTAACTTGGGATCCAGTGCTCGGTTTTTGGCTTTCTGGGACGTAGTGTGCTGCTCCGCTATTAATCTCCGGTGCTGTTTTAGTCCGTGTGGGCACGTTCACACTCTCGACGTTGCACAAAGCTTCATTACGCATGGAGGTTGGCGGTCACAGTTGCTTAACACCAGCGGCCGGAGCCAGTAAATTGATCAGACTAATGAAAAGCTGTGAGGGAGAGCTGTCACGCAGCTGCTGCAGACTCCTCTGTGTCCATGTCTGATTGTTGGAGGGCTGCCAGTGTTGTGTGAATGTGATAATATGCAGCATTCCCTCTCACTAGGCTGCAGAGATTGTTTCCAGTGATGCCTTCATGGGTGATTACAGCATATACTTATGCATGACCAGGATAACATTGAGTGGTGGACAAAATAGCAGATCTGTTCAAGATGTGTAAATATGACTTTAATAATGTATATACAACCAACAACAACCCATCCATTCAGTTAAAAAAAATGAAAGTTGATCTGCTTTCGCCTACAGCATGGGTCTTCATCCACCTCTGTTATTTTCCGTCTTAGCCCAGGAAAGCTTGATGCACTTCTAATTTATGAATTCATTATTCTTTCAATCTTTACAAATACTTTCCGAGTCTTTAACTATGGATTTGTAAGCTGATCTTGTTGTTCATCCAGCAGGGATCTGAGAAAAGCATCTGGACCTTCAGCCCATGCATCAGCTGTCCTCTGAACTCTTATCAGACCCTAACATAGGCAAAAGAGATGGAATATTTTATCATCCAATGAGGAGTCCAACTTGGAAATATTTGGTTGGAATTGTCATCAGGGAGTCAGGAGGAGTTTAGGAAAATAATACAACGACTGTTTGGACCTGCAGTGCAGCAGTTGTAAGATTGACTTAGGTTGTAAAAGCTCTTTTCATAACAACTAGAGGATATTGACACAAGTTACCATTCATCTTTTGATTAAACTGTTAAAAAACCAATAGTTTAATTACAAACAGAATGGTACCAACTCAGTTCTAACCCAAATCCATTGACTTTGTTATTTCAAATGTTTAGAATCATCTTCTTTTGATGGGTTGTCATCTAACAATGAAAGGTGGATGAATTCAAATAAAAAGATAGACAGCCACAGTCTGGTCTCATTAAACCTTCGTTAAAAACTCTCACCGTCGTCCACTGGTGCTTGTTTCGATTCCATTCTCTTGTATACTTTTCCCTCATACAAAGTGGAATCAGCCATCCATCGTCAGACGAGGCAGCAGACTTTTTTGTCCTCAGGTGGGCGTGATGGAAGATAAAAACCATGTTTAAAACCATATCAATGTTAATAGAGTCTTTCACCTGTTGGACAGAAAACGTATCTGCACGATTACAGCAGGAGGGCATTAGGAAACATTTCTCAGGATTTAGGTTCTTCAACCTGGCCCTCTTCCTCTTGATTCCAGATGTGGGTTTTTTTCAGGAGGACGTTTGTTCTGTCTAATGTAGTGTCATAATGCATCGTTTTAAAAAGTGATTTTGGAGGCAACGTGGTTGACAAATAATGCCTCGTTTTAAAAAGTGATTTTGGAGGCAAGGTTGACAAGTAGTGTCATAATGCATTGTTTTAAAAAGTGATTTTGGAGGCAAACATTCTTAAGCCAAATTGTTTCAGTGAAATGAGCACAGACAGATATAAACAGAGACATATTTTGCTCATGGTTGCTAAACGTATAAATAAAATGTTTGTTGCATCCTTTGGAAAAACAACCCTGACTTTTTAGCAGTGGTTTGGAGTTAGGTTTGTTACTTCACACTAGTGGCAGTTGTGCAGCCTCACAGACTCTCTCTTCTATATCATTTACCTAATTGTGATATAAGTACTAAGTATTTACATAATATAGCTCGTGTTTTTTAGTGTTGTGCTAAATGAGTAGCTGTGTGTGGCAGGCAGAGGTGGGTAGAGTACTCAAGTAAAAGTACTGTTACTTCAGAATAATATTACTCAGAAGTAAAAAAGTCATCCAAATAATTTCTTGAGTAAGAGTAAAGGTACTGTAGTGTGATGATGTGAGTAACATCTGATTTATTTTATCAGCTAGAAAAAAGTAGGAGGAGAGTTTATCCTATCAATAAAATACTAAAATAAAACGAATTAAATACCTTAAAATAAACTTTAGGTAAATTCAAGTAGGCCTACTTCAAGTAAAAGTATAGTGAATTAAAACTACTCCTAGAAGAATTTTATTTTGAAAAACTTACTCCAGTAAATGTGACTCGTTAATACCCACCTCTGATGGCAGGGTTATTATAACTGTGACATTGAAAGTGGGTGAAATAGGAAGGTCATGTTTTGGGACACAGTTCCAAATTAGCTGGCACTAAAGGAGTGGGCAGACACTGCAGAAATGTAAAATAATAATAACATGTCTCCTATTAATGTTCTGGTCTAACTGGCATGGTTTCTACCTAAAAATGCCCTAATCAAAGAATCCTCCAGACTTCTTAAATTCACCACTGAGGGAAAATGATGTGGAATCATCAGTACCGTGGCTTTGCTGAACTCAGAATAAAACACCACAGCGCCGTCGCAGCCCTGCTTGCTGTTTGCCGAGCCGTCAGAACTCCTCTGCGGTCTTTATTAAAAACCAACACATTAAAAATAATAGCAGTTGTTACCTGATCAGGATAAAACCACATGACGTCTGCTGCAGAGATTAATGTTGGTGGTGAAGCTATTTTTTGCATGGAGACGTGTTCAGCCGGCCAATGGGATAAAACAAGGTTTTATAGCTGTGTCTGTTTGGACTGTATCTCAGCCCCGGCCTGTTCATCGTGTCCCTGAATGTAATTCGCTCCTGTCTTCGGTGGACACTGCATGCTGAGGCTTTGTGACCTTCCACATGGTCAGCAGGTGGAATTAGCAGAAAATCTGCTGCTCGCTAATATTTCACCCTCAAACTGATGGAGTGATCAAGTTGCAGTCAGCTTCTGGTCAGCCTGGAAGTGCAAAACTGTGATTTATTGTTAGGGCACAGCCGCTGTTAGCATTAAAGTGCTCATATTTGGTCTCTGTTTTTGTTGCACGCTGATATATTTTGGTTGGGAGTAAATTCAGCGGACAGTGGAGGGAAGAGGTGGTGACAACTTGGTATTGAGTGATTAATGATGACTTCTTCACATGGATTTGATCTCATTAGCTTTTACTGAGAAACCAGACGAGTGGACGTTCAGGCTCTAAACACTAAAACGTCTGTGTCCACTGATCAGGCCACAGCACTAACATTACCATTACCAGTTCCTTGATGTAAATGACCTGCTTTGGCAGTTCAAACTGAACCACAGTAACGTGGTACAGAACTTACTTTGTAGTACAACTACCTTTTAATGCCCTTGGAAATATATTTTAATTTCTGTTCTGTACCTGTAGAGAATCTGTCCAAAAAATCCAGGCTGAAAACATGATAACATAACAGATTTAAACAGAGAAGAAGCAGAAGTTTAAATAGTTACATCTTTTTCTTCTTGCAAACAATAATAAATTCACAATGTAGGAATGATAACACTCTACATGAATCACAACCTTCAAAACTCAACATGAACCAATGAAAACTAAACTAAAATAGATTTATATAATACATCTATAATAACTAAATAATAATATAGAATCAATTGTTAATCATCTCTATAACATATGACCAAGCTTTTAAGTGTCCATTTTATGACATCTTGTTGATCGTTTTGCAGCATCACTTCAGTGTCTTGTCCCACTTTCAGTTTCAGTTGAACAGATCGACAGCAGACCTGTGAAAACACACACAAAAAACAAAAAACATCAGCAATATTCATAATGACTGCATGTAATTGTGTGGTTTGAGTTTCCTCCTCTTTCACTAATACAAATCCAGATATGTAGGCTTTGAATTTCACAACCCTCACCTTAGAAGTGAAGTAAAGTCACTGGACCAGCCTGAGTCATACTTTACTTGCAAGGTAATTATTAACCTGAGTGGAAAAAAACCTGTCCTAATTAAATTGTACTGCTTTATATTTTCAGCAACACAAATTACCGTCATGTGTGGAAATGACCATCTTAAAAGAATGAAATTATACATGTTGCATATCATTTTAAAAGGAGAGGATTAAATGAAATTCTGTGTCATTAACTGATCATAAACAGACAACAAATCAATAATAGATTTGAATGGGTCCATTTAATTGTACTGTGATTTAATGTGTATAAAATTCAAGATGCTGGAAATGTTTTCACTTTGATGGCTCAACAGCAGTGTTGTGACTGATGTACAAATTTATGAACCTAAAATAGAAGCTTATATTTCAGCTTTGAGCCTTTTTAAATCTTGTACATATTATGCACATTTTCTGCTTAATAAATCAGTTCTTTGGTGTCTTAAAGAAAGGTCTGAAACATGCCTTGGTCAGCTCTTCTTCACAGCTCTTCTTTGATCCAGTCAAAACAGCCCTAGTCCAAATGCTTCAGTGCCTTAATAGTCATATTCTCAAATTTCCAATGGCATTTGAACCCCCCCCCCCCCGCTTTATAGACACACGTTATGCAATTTTTAAAAAATGTTAAAGGAGTTATTTAAAATGTTCATTTATATTTACATAAACACAACATCCTGCAGTGGTCCAGATATCGATACATTTTGAAAATAAAAGGGATGTAAAGTGACGACTTCTCCCGGCACAACCACACAGACAGACTTGGAAATGTTGAAATCATACAGAAATCAAATTTATAGAAGAGTCAAGTGGACAACTTGATTTTTTTTATCGTTGTTACCCTGTAATTACAGCTACCCCGTAATTAGTCATATTGAAAATTAAAAATTGTTGAATTAATCGACAGCCCTAGTTTTAACATGTTTTTGCAAAACATTTTAGAAAGCATTTGTCAGACCTTCCATGTTTAACACTGGCTTTAGACAAGAAGGCCAGAAAGCAGGTGATGCAGTTCCAGTGCACTGTCACATCGTTAAAACATAGATGTGTCTACTCAGTGAATCACCTGTCATTCTTATATAACTAAAAGGAGAAAGAGGAAGAAAAGAAAAAGATAAATTGCAGTCTTCACCTGGTGCCTCATAGTTTCAAACTTGAAAATTGGAGCAAATCACGTGACCAAAATCTTCACATTCTTGTCGTATGTTGAGGCGTCCTCCGTGGTCTTCATTACAAATGCCATATTTGGAGGATTGAAAAATTTAGAACTTCTCCTTTCCTTCACATTGAAATCTTTTGGGAATTTAGTGTTTCTCCGTCTGACCTGGAAAGACGGAATGCAGTCATTTCCAGGTGGAATGGTAGATTCCACAGACATGGCTCCGAACAAGGAGAACTAACACGACTGTTAAAACAGGTCTGTGCTGTCTGTCGCTTTAGTGTTGGCTGTAGCTGTGACGTTGTACTGCTGAATTATCAAAGCCTCTAGAAGGCGGAGCTGAATCACAACTTATCTTTCGTGTTTTGAGTTAATAATTGGTAGGCCTCAGTGGAGACCTGCGTGTCCATGTATGGGCATTGATGCCAAACACCTTCATTGACGGTTGTCCAGCTGTTATCATGCACATTTACAGGGCTTTTTTTTTTCCTCCAATGAATGCCTATTATTGGATAATAAAATACATGAGAACATGTACCCTCATACCTACCATATATACATGTGAGTAAGGTAATTTTGAACATTAGACCAGAGTATAATCAGTCCCATGTCTCGGCCTGCTCCTTTATGCTCTTATACACAGTATTTAGTATAAACAGAGTGTAAACATGACTGATTGGCTGAGGCTTTACATCCGATTTGTACTTTTGACTGATGTGCCTTGCTCCCTTGCACCAGTGTCAATTTTTCAAAGGTATATGAATTGATAAATGTGCTCGTTCATACGAACCAGGTTAAGGTAGTCGTCATGCATCATTACTGAGGGGCCACACATCACTGTGAGACATTAATACATTAGCGTGACAGAGTGTATAAGCAGAGAAGGACGTGATGACAGGGCGTAGAGGAAAAATGTCCAACCATCAAAGGAAGTTTTTTTTTTTCATCGTCTTTGCTCATCATGAGAAATGACAGGAGTTGGAGCGGACAGAAATGGAGACAAGTTGAACTTCTCGCCACTTTTCGCTGGTGGATGTAGTTCAGTAAATCAAGGGGAAGGAAACCTGGCACAAGAGGCAGGGGTGATGTGGATCTTCAAAGGCTGGTTGAAGACAAACCTGAAGATAGATAAATACTCCACCCCAGACTGGAGAAATCAGTCAGTTGTTGCTTTACAGATATCAAGTGCTTTTCATTTTCATTTTAAATCGCTTATTTGAACGTCTTATTTCCTCATCTAAGCTAAGACTACGGTACATCTGGACCTCTATGACCCTTGGCATTAGGACTCCTAAAACCTTTGACCCCAGGCTTTGGTGCGTAATAAGAAATATTAACCTGGGCAAACTCTAATCCTAGGGCTTCTTCATGGTGAGTGTAAAAGTACACTGTGAGATTGATGTGTGTGTGGGAAGCCAGTGAGAGGAGCATCAAACGTTTCTGACTGTGATGAAAGGAACCCTGTTTTTTACCTTAGATGAAGATGGAAGGGAAGAGGAGGAAGAGAGGGCCACAGTGTTTCCTTCTTTTCAACTGTGTTCACTGAAACCTTCCCATAAATCCCCTTGAAAGTGGATCAGCAGAGTGCCCTTTCCTCCAGGTTCCAGTCAGACAGGAGTCTCTTTAAAACATGGGGGGCGGGGCTTCCTAATCTAAACATTGGACAGAAACATATTGATCAAATGGAGCGCTGCATGAAACACAAGTCTCGGTTTGGGCTGGGTGTAACAGAAAAAGTCAAAGGCTTTCACAGTTTCAGACCAACAGTGTGAGCTGGCACCACCTTCTGGAAAAGGTTTATTTTGAACATGCTCTCTGCTTGTTATTACTGTTGATTATGTGCTGTTGAAGACACACACTTGCCCTGGGTTCACTTCCTCGTCAGCCTCCTTGTTGAGATGTCCTCTTTGAAATTGAACTCGACTTGACGTGTAATGAGTTACCGACCTGCTCTAGTCGCAGCCTTGGCTTAGAGGAGGTTTACTTAATTGGATTTAAAATACATTACCTATGTGTACTTTGATTACTTTCATTCACACATGCCTCTGCAGAGGTGTGTGTTTTCTTGACCCCTGTCAGATTCATGTTTTTAAAGTTATTATGTGATGTTTCCAGTCCTAAAAACTCTTTTACGTCTTTTACAGAGAAGGCTTTAATGTGGATGGGTTTAAAAGATTTAAGTGAAAACTAAAATGTATTGTAACTAATATTCTGACACAGAACTATTAGGAGAAAGCAGCAAAGTCTGTGAACTACACAAAGAGAACTCTCTGTTTCTCTAGAAGCTGCTGCTGAATGTGCTTGGCCTCCAGTCTTTTTTGCAACACCCCCACCTCCCTTCCCCGCGCCCTGCCACCACCCACACACATTGTTACCTTCACAGCTATTGCTAAATAAAATAAAAAACACACTCCCACGAACTTTTGAACAGTGCCATTCCTGTTAAAAACTGATTTTCTAATCAGGCAAAGGAAATAAAATAATGCGAAACATGGTTACATGTTCTTTGAATTAGCTTGTTAATTTTTTTTATTTTTTTTTTTGGAGTAACAATTGAATAATCCCTGTCTGATTCACATTTGGTCCACCTGAACTTCATAGATTGTTTTTCTTAAGAAATAATAATAATGAAATAGTTACATGATTTAATTATAAAGTAACCAATTCACATAACCAGTCTGTGCACTTCTCTGCCTGTTGGTCATGTGTTCGTCCAGTATTATTGAACAAGATGTTTTTTTTGTCGAATGCCACATTTTTTAAGATACTAAACAAAACAGTATCAGCTGTCATGTATCATTAGCCTGTGGTTCCATATCTGATGTCTTTAGGAGGAATCGATGCAGACTTTAAAATGAGGAGGAAATGGTTGCCGGATCAAAATTCTGTCGAGACACTAAAAGAGTGTGAGAAAATAATTTCTGAGTAAAAAGACAAACCCTCCGAGAACGACACAACCATCCAGTTAACTGGGCCTCCATTTAGCCTTGAGCAAGGACATCTGGTCACTCGTGTGGTTTTGACTGTGACCTAACACACACACACTGACCTCTTCACAATGTTCATGTACTGTATGGGCTCCACTTATGTTTGCTTTACCCCTGCATTGTGAGGTCATTTTCAGCATCAGTAGAAGTGAAGACATGCTACAGTGCAACACGGTCAGCAGAGAGTTCGTGTTGTATTCAGATTTCCAGGATGTATTTTTAAATGAAAATGCCTTAAACCAAGTATGTGGTTTTACATATGAGATGTGCTGAAGTGCCTGGGGAATTGTGAAGGTTTCTTAAAGGTCTGAGGGAAAATGTTACAGTTTCTTGTTGTACTTTCTCACAATAAGGAGGATGTATGCACCTTTCCTGAAAAAGCCAAGCATGAACCTTTCTTCATCTTTGACGTCTAATGAGTCAATAATCACTGTTTCTAGTTTCTTATAGAGTTTTCTTCTATAATTCTGCCAAGTAAGACAAACAGTGATATTTTGCTGCTTCTCTGTATGTGGTGTTTAACTGTCACTCACCTATATTCTGTGCCTTGCTGTCTCCGAGGTAGTTTAACAGGAAGCAGTTAGCCAAGTATAAAGGTGACACTTGTTTTTTTAAAAGAAATGAATCTGATTAATTAATGCAGTGGTTGCCAACAGTTTTTGGCTTGTGACTTCATTGTGACATCACAGATTTCTGCCGACCGCAGAGACATTCCAGTAGTTACTGTCATTTGTGCAGTTGCATGATTACAGCAGCAGCCTGTCAAGATGAGCCAGCTCAGGTATTTTTATATGCTGCATTTTATTTGAACCCAATAAATACTCATGAAAGCCAAAGATAAAGTTGTTTAAGATTGGGTTTTAAATTAGAATTAATAAATAATAGACATTTCAGACGACCCTACGTGGCCGTGACATCAGGGATGAAATTGAATTAATGCAATGTTAATTTTGATATATTTAATTTTCATTGAAAAAAAACAAACAAAGAAATATGATTCATTTTCTGACAGTTGCCGTACCCAGTGAATTTCCCCGGTGTGGGATGATTAGAGGTCTTATCTATCAAAAATGAGCCTGCACATTATGATCTCTGAGACTTGTGCTCACAGTTTCATAGCGGTGACTTACGTTGTTGTGAGTGCTGAGTGCAGGATTTTGGACCAGATCTTATTTGTCTTTTTTAGGTTTACAACTTTGTGGGCCATTCCCACAGAATAGTGTAGTTGCAGTGGCTGTTTGTTTTTTTATGACCGTAGGCCTAAAGAGCTCCTCACAATGCGGAAAATGTCAAGTTCCCTAAACCTGTCACCCTTTTCTGCTATGCAGTGCCTTGGCACATGCCCAGGAAGCAGACAGTTGACCCAGGTCATAGCAGGGTGTTTATGACACATGGGGAGCAGCTGAAGGCCCCTGCAGTGGATTTGTACATTCTCTAGAATGCGGGGCCCACTGTGCTGCTAATGGGCCCTATCTGAGCCCCCGCCCCATCCATGTCCCTCAGCCCCTGTTCATCTCCCTAAAGACGAGTGCCTTCTGCTATCAAGTCTTGTGCAGTGATTTCTTCCAGAGCTGTCGACTCGTCGCCCCCGGTCAGGAGGTGACTGTGGTTTAGAGGACCAACAAGAAGAGAGAACATCCTGTTGAGAAAATGATTGCAAACAGAAACAGACATTTTGACAGCAGTCTCCTTTATACAGTCTGTTACTGGTGTTACCCCAGAGTGATGTGGTGAATGTCATAGCTCTGCTAATATGCTAATATTATACTATAGTATTATAGTATGCTAATGCTAATAACTGTGCACATATTTCTACTGCTTTCTTTTTCTATTTTATGCATATAACTATGCTTAAATAAATTAATCCCATATAAATGTATTCACATTTTTGGTAATGGTTTTGCTGAATTAGACGTAATTGTAAACACCCGTTAAATGTTTTTTTGTGTTATTTTAATGCTACAGTTACATCTTACTAACTTTTGTTCAAATTCACAGTTGAGCCTGTGAAAATGCTCATTCCACTGCTGCTGAACATGAACAGCTGCACGTGACAAATGAAATGTCTTAAAGTCTTGTATAAGTAGGAAAAATAATGCCTTTTTAACTCACTTAAAATATATACATATGTATCTCCACACCTATGAAAAAAGTCTTGTCCCGTACCTTCACACTTACACTCTCTGATCCAGTTACTGTGTGACGTGGGTGTGATTAAAGGCTTGTGTTGGACTCTAGTGACCACATTCCAATATTTCAGGTTGCTGTGTGGGCCAACGACAGTGACGCAGTGTTCATCCGAGAATTCACCCTGATTCGAAGAGACCACCTTCACGAAGAGCCTCTCCACGACAGCAGCCAAGGACCTGATGACCCGGTACGTGATGATTTTCAAAACACTGACGTCACAGTGCGGAGGGAACCAGAACTGTCATCTACGTTTTCATTTCACTCACACATCTTACATCTTAACCTGCACAATAAGTACATAAATAAATAGAAATATCAGAACTCACCCAGCCAGTACATTTTTGGTACTCACTAGAGGAGTGAGAAATGAAGCATGTTCCACCTGAGTAATAAATACAAGTGAATGACGATCGTGCAGCGTAGGGAGTGTAATGTGACTGTTGGCTGATGTAACAAACACAAAAACCTAATACTCGGTAACACAAATGCTGCATATTTGAGGGTGTGGTTGGTTTTTGGCATCACGTTACTCCTCCCCTGTCATCACCTTTGATGAGACATTAGTTCTGGCAGCAGAATTTCTTTTAAGCCGATCTCTCACCCAGATGTTTTATCTAATTGGGTAGGGAGGGAGGTTTCACTTGCTTTTGTTTTTCTAACCTGTGACAATTCTCCCTTTTATTTGATGTAATTATAGAGAAATCTTTTAAGCGAAACTTGATCAGAGGCCCTGGAGCTTTATTCTAGGTTGGAATGCAAAACTTAAGGGGATTTTGGAAGTTGTATTGTTATGTATTTGGGCAGCAGAAACTGTTGCTCATATGAACTTTCATGCACACTATATGTGGCTTTACCCACTAAGATGAATTTTCCCCCCCATTTTCCCTTTTAATTCAGAGAATAGTCAGCACTTTTTTCCAGTCTTTGATTGCTTAATAAGTGCAGATTTGTAATAAGCTTCTCATCAGACTTTGAACATGGATCAATAGTGCTATGAACATTCTTTTGTGGAATACAGCCTCTTAAACCTATCAAGGCGTGTCATAGCCACCAACTTTCAAATCTGGGAGATTTGATTGTCGTTTGGCAGTGAACCAGTGTTTATTCTATGTTTTGTATTCTATGTGTAGAGCACCAAATATCAAGTTTTGTGGTGGACATTGAATGTGTCTTTTAAGTCACTGACATTCATGGTACTAATTAACCCGACAACTATATTAGCATACACATCACAGGCCTTTTAACATCAATTTGACATTTATATTACTGGAATAATATCCTTTTTGGAAGGATCATAAGAATGTTACGCTATGCTCTGAACACCAGTGCCTCCAGTCTCTTCTGGTTTGATTCACAAACAATAGAGAAGCTGCAAGAATGTAAGCTAGCTTTTCCCAAAACATCAAGATTTGTCTTTTGGATTTCAATGCTGTTGATGACCCTAAAGTGGTCTCAGGTAAAATTCTTCCTTTTACCTTTTGATAATGGAAACCTTTACAGGATCTCTGGACCCCTCAACATCAACCTCATTTGGTAACTGACAGAACGTTGCACCAACGTTTCAGCACTCCTGTAACATATATCTCTCTACACTTTTACCGTAAAGATGTTGGTTTGATATTAAGCTGATATTAGGCCAACCTTAGTTTAGTTATCGACAACACAGGACATACATCTAAAGCTCTGTTTGTTTTCACTTGTTTAATTTCACGACTGTGTCCTAGGGTCCTTTCACTGGCATGACTCTGACCTCCTTAGCAGCTTTTACCCTTTCTCCCAAGGGAGTCGCAGAGGAATTGTTTAAACTTACAGATAGTGTTTTTATTGGCAGCCTAAAGTAGGGTTCTAAAACATATACATTTATAAATTAGTCCGTTTGTTTTTTTTCTAGCCGCATGAGTCTTAAGAATGTCAGCATTTATACACAAATATTAAAAAAAAAAAAAAAGTTTATTGGGTTGAGAAGTTCCTGAACCAAAATGTAAAAGGGATGTGGTGGTTGAATCTGGCCTCCGCTTCTGAGAAAACCTTTATTTATTTCAGTCTAACAAGACCGAATAAGTAAGAGCGTAAAGATAAACCGAAAAGCAGCTCATAAATCTACTGTATGACCATCCCCACTCACTGTTTGGCCTTGAATGAAATTTTCCAGCAGTTTGATGTGCTGCGGAGAGAGAACTGTAATTCAGAGAAAAACCAACATGATCTGTAATGAAATGGGAGCAAATGCTTCTCGACGTTTTGTTTAGCTGGCAGATTTATTGTAATATGCGGCCGATGTGCTTCAATGTGTCTGAGAACAAAAACAACCAGTGCTTTCATTATTCCTAAAACTTTAATGCAAAAGCTGAGATCTTTTTGATTTGGTCGTGACACATTGTCCTCTTTGTGCATATATTAGCAGTGATGCCGCAAAAGCTTTAGCTGATGTATGCTTAAGTTAGCTTAAATGCCAATAAACAAAGACATTACAAGACTGTACTTATTCATCTACAGAAAATCAGAGGTCCTGAGGTTAAAGTGTAGGTTGAAAGTCCATTTCCAACGGCGATGCACGGTTGACAGCTGCTGCTTTACCTCAGGTCGGTTGAGAAGAACAGAAGAACTGGCCAGGCAGTATTTTACACTTCAGATCATTGTCAGACAGTGAAATGGAGATGAAGAAAAAAGAGAAAAGACACATCTTTGTACAAGAGAAAAGAAAGGAGACTAAGAGAGACACCACCACAAGATTTTCCCTTTGGTCAGCTGCTGTCTTGTTGGAAAATGAAATTGCCCTTTCAAACAGGCAACTTTTAAGTGAGTGGTGAGTGTGTTCAAGACAGTAGTCGATGTTGTGCTCCAAAAATGTGCCAATCTGTGTCTCATTGTCCTGATGGGGAGTTTATTTTACTAGGTCGAAAATGTCAACAGCTTGGAAGAATTTTAACAGGAGGAAGATGTATTGTTAAATCAGTTTCGTTCGGATACTAGCATTAAGAAAATATTTAAAAACACGTCTTCGCAGTGATTCCACTAATGTCTCTTCACAGGAATGTCACTGTAAAATGACGTGGAGTTTACACTTCATTTGTTAGGATATATTTAAAGAAACATTGTGTGTTAACTTGTGTATTGAAACACATGATGCGACATAGTTAAAGTGACAAAGTGCAAAAGACACTATTCTCAACTGAAATGTGCTTTCATTGGTGTAAAAGTTCGCTCACTTACTCCTCAGCTGGCTGAGTTAATTCAGTGTCTAATGTGACAACAGTGAAGATTTTCAGTTAAACACAGAACAGTTTGTGTCTTTTATCCTGAAAATGCCCTCCGTTAATGAGAGGTGGAGTTCAGTAAAGAAACCTGATGTGTTCACACACTCAGATAATACTCATGGATATTAAAAGACTCAGTGCACACAGACCTTTCCAGTGTTCACCCGTGTACTCTATATATACTGGTGCAGCTTTGAAGTAACAGTATAACAGTCCTTAGTCACATACTTGTAACAGCGATGTTTGTCTTCCTAAAAATATAGTATTAGACACACATGCTCAGACTGTGTAGAAACAATGGCAGTTAAATATAGACGCATATCTTCTACTTTGTTGTTTTGAACTACAATCCACCCCGTGCTTCACTGCGGTTCATCTGCAGTCCTTAACAGCCAGAATATTATGGGTTGTGACAGTTAAGTGGTGCTAATAGTTGTCATTAGAGCCACACTCTGCTGTCAAGGCCTGAGGTCTGCTGTAAAGACACTTCCACTTCACCTGTCCATACAGGGCTCTTTCTTCCTCCCTCGTTATCCTCTCCCTGTCACCCATCCCTATTCATTATGTTAGATTTCTCCTCCTCCCTGCCCTTTGTCTCGTCCGCTTCAACACATGCCAAGCGATCCAGGTCTTAATGTTTTTACATGCTCAATTGCACTCCAGGCAGCTACAGTCACAGGCATTTGTTTTAAACCTTGAGGGTAAGAAGTGTTGAGATGGTTCAACATTTAGGAAAGGTGTAAGCGTTCAGAATAATTGGGGTTGGGCAAGTGGGGCCAAGGGCTAGCTGGGGTGACATTGGGAGGTTGGGGGGGGGGCATTTAGTGCAGGCATCATCGGCAGCAGCAGCAGCTCAGGGAGAGAGGGGCCCAGTTTTTCATAGTAACGTTGCAGCTGTGTTTTGGATGTTGCACGAGGTGAAAAGGCCAGTGATCATGTGCAATTTAACACTTCATTACTCTTCTTTGAAAGCTCGTTTTTTTTTACATTGTACTCTGTGCCATATTTCAAATCTTCACCCAATCCAAATCAAAGGAGAACTTGTGAATTTACCTTAGAGTATTGTTGTTACAGTAGGTGACATTTATAATCCACTTGCTGGTAGTGAAGGCGGCCAAGCAGTTGAAAATAAAACCTCAAGTCTGAGTGTTCATTTGGCATCAGACTATGCTCAAATTATCATTACAAGTGCAATGCATCGTTAACCACCTTCTTACAAGACACATAACATCCTCATATCCATGTGTATTATATACTTAAGGTCCATCTGATCAGAGCATAAAAACTGGAGTAGAAAACAGTAAAAAACAAGAAAAACTGTACTGAATGAGCTGCAGAAGACAAGACAACCTGGAGCTGTGGCTTTTTAAGGTGCTGAGATTGATCACACAGGTGGGAACTGAACAAAGACAGCAGAGAGGTGAGGTGTATCACTATGAAGCAGGAAGTAAAGGAGAAGTGAAAGTATGTTGGGAAGTAAAATGTATTCACCAGAGACAGGGCAGATCCCTAAGAGTAGGAACTGGATTCAAATACACGGTACGGTGTACTGTGGCAGAGGATGAGTACACAGTAGAAGCTGCTCTCCCAGTAGTCGGCCTGGAAAAGACTTAAGAACTGCCTTGCACCAGCTAGCCATGCGTACCACTGTTTGTTTCTGCCTAGCCAGCACTTTGACAGATACCCTGACTCTGAAATGTCTTTGCCTGACAGACAAGAACAAGGGTTTTGACCCCCCCCCCCCTTCAAGTGATGCTCATTTTGCTTTTGAAAAGAGACAAGTGAGAGAACTCAACAGACAAGCAAAGGACTGAGAGTCTGTTGGCTTCTTGACTTGTTTGTTTGGCTGCCTGACTGGTGTTTGGCACATGTGCAGTGAGTGCAGATGAGTTCTGGCTCCATCTCTTGAAGAAAGTGCTGAGTACTGGTG